AAAATGTTTAAGTAATTTTTGAGGTAGCAAGTGCTACTTGCCTGTAGGATAGCTACATTTTGGCTAAGTTTTTTTTTTTTTTTTTTTAAAGAATAGTGCAAATGCCCTAACCGGTTTGGCTCAGTGGATAGAGCGTCGGCCTGCGGACTCAAGGGTCCCAGGTTCGATTTCGGTCAAGGGCATGTACCTTGGTTGCAGGCACATCCCCAGTAGGGAGTGTGCAGGAGGCAGCTGATCGATGCTTCTCTCTCATCGATGTTTCTAACTCTCTATCCCTCTCCCTTCCTCTCTGTAAAAAATCAATAAAATATATTTAAAAAAAAAAAAGAATAGTGCAAATAACGCTCTACACTCTATCCTGATTCCTCAAAATGTGCCACTCTTTTTTATCAGTTTCTCTCCCTGCCACACACACACACACACACACACACACACCCCACACACCACTTAAAAAGACTGAGAGCAAGTTTTTTATGATCAGACAAGATCAGCCTTTACCACGAAATAGTATTTCCTAAACAACAGGACATTCTCTTCTCTAAGCACAGTATAATGATCAAAATCAGGAAATGAACATTGCCACAGTACTATTAGCTAATCTACTAACCTTGTTCAGATTTCACTAATTGCCTTAATTACGTCTTTCACAGGAATGAAAATCCCAGATCATGCACTCCATTCAGTTGTCATGCCTATTTAGTCTCCTTCAATCTGCGGCACTTCCTCAAATCTCCCTTGTCTTGTGTGACCTTAGCATTTTTGACGAGTCAAGGCCAGTTTTTACAATGTCTCCCGATTTGGGTCTGTCTGACATTTCCTCATGGTCAGACCCAGGGGTGCATTCTTGGTCAGCCGCTCAAGGAAGTGAGGCGTGTCTTCCTGTGCCTTGTATTGGGGGTCCCACGGTGTCTGCGTGTCCCATTCCTGGTGATGTTAGCCTTGATTGTTTTGTTTTGGTGGGTCTGCCAGATTCTCCCACGGTCAGGTTCTTATCTTTCCCCTTGTGATCGATAAGTTATTTTCAAGGCGGGGCTTTGAGGCTATGTAAATATTCTCATCAAACTTTCATCCAATTCTTTTAGCATCCACTGATTTATTCACACCCGAGTCAACTAATCCCAATGATTGTCAAAATAATGGTTTCCTAACTCCATCATTCCTTCCACATTTATTTGCTGGTATAAGGGAGAACTTTCCATTTACACACGTTTATTTATTTACCTAAATATAGCCTCATAGAATAGATTCTTCTTTTTATGGGTTCTCACTTTTTAAAATGGCTTATAACTCCTTACTATCGCCATCTAGTTTGATACTCAAATTATCTGAGAAATTGTCATTGGGAGCCCCTTCAAGCTGGCTCTTGTGCCCTTTTGACACACCCACATAATTTTTTGATCCTCATCTGAGTCCCGCTATTACATGGTTCACACGTAACTGTCCCTGTCCTGCAGCCCATGTTGAAATCTTTGTCTGGGAGTCATGGGCAGCTTTATTATTATTATTTTATTTATTTACTTTTAAATCCTCACTCGAGGATATTTTTTCCATTGATTTTTAGAGAGAGGGAAAGACAGAGAGAAATAGCAATGTGAGAGAAACACATCGATTGGTTGCCTCCTGCATGCACCCTGACCAGGGCCCAGGGAGGAGCCTGTAACCGTGGTACGTGCCCTTGACTGGAATCGAACCCGGGACCCTTCAGCCTGCAGGCCGATGCTCTATGCACTGAACCAAAACAGCTAGGGCCATGGGCAGCTTTAACTAGGAGCTTGGACTGACAGGGATTGGTGTGGGCTCCCGGCCCTGATCTGAAGGCCCTGTTTTCAATAGCCTCAGGAGGGGATGAAGCCATGTGGGTCAGATATAGGTTATGGGTCAGATACTGGTTATGGGTCAGATACTGGTTATGGGTCAGATACTGGTTATGGGTTAGATAGTGGTTATGGGTTAGATAGTGGTTATGCAGTAACCACGGACACAGCTGCGACAAAAGTTCTCGGGCTCTGGACTACCGTTCCCACAGAGGAGTGCAGAGTGTGGCTGCTTAGCCTGTGGCTCTGGCCCTCTCAGAGGTTCAGGCAGACGGTGTGACTGAGACAGCAGGTGTGGGACCAGGGCTGCCATGTCAGGTTCAGCAGGTGGTGCACTGCACAAAGCTGACTGTATTTACATTGTACAGATAGATATGTATATTTTAACAAATGTTTTTATAGCAGATGATCGAGTTCTTTTAAAAAGTTTTATTATTGATTTTAGAGAGAGAGAGAGAGGAAGGGAGAGAGAAACATTGATTTGTTCCACTTTTTATGAATTAATTGGTTGCTTCTTGTACGTGACCTGACCGGGGATTGAACCCGAAACCTTGGCGTATTGGTAGGACGCTCTAGCCAACTAAGCTACCCGACCAGGGTAATAAAGTTCTTATTGTAACCAAATAGTATTATGACCATTTTCTGATAGTTTTGAAGAAGGGGGTGCTTTTTAAAACATTTAAACAAAGGTGTATGCCCGGTCAGTGTGGCTTAGCGGTTGAGCATTGACCCAGGAACAAAGAGGTCACCTGGTAATTAGAGACTGAACCATGCTCAACCGGTTCGATTCCTGGTCAGGGCACATGCCCAGGTTTTGGACTGGATCCCCAGTAGGGGGCATGTAAGAGGCAGCCGATCGATGATCCCTCTAAAAAATAAATAAATAAATAAATATATTCATCTATATCTATATGTATCTATATCTATCTATCTATCTATCTATCTATCTATCTATCTATCTACCTACCTATCTATATGTTCTAGAGGCCCGGCACACGAAATCGTGGACGGGTAGGGTTCCTAGGCCTGGCCTGCGATCAGGGCTGATCTTCCCCGGCTGCTGGGAGCCAGCTCTGCCCCCTGCCACTGTTGCTGTGGTCGCCCTCTATGTGTGGGGCGACTGGCAGGGCTATTGGGGCCCGGTGTCACCCCCATCAGCCGCCACCCATCCCCAATTCCCGGTTCCTGGTTCCCCACTGGGCGATCGGGGTCTGTGGGCTGGGAGCAGCTCCTGCGTTGAGCGTCTGCCCCTGGTGGTCAGTGTGCATCATAGCCGACTGGTCATTCTGCCATCTAGTCGATTTGCATATTATCTCTCTCTCTCTCTCTCTCTCTCTCTCTCTCTCTCTCTCTCTCTATCATCTACCAAAACAAACAAAGCAAACAAAGGTGTGCTGCATAGCCAGTGTCCCCGCTGCAGACCCACCCGGGGAAGTGGGTGTGTATGTTGGGGGGGGCCTGAGGTCTTGGCTCCCATTCAGCTGCACCCCCCCTCCCCATGACCTACAGCGGTGGTGACACTGATTGAGGACGGAAAGAACGACTCTGTGGCTGAGACCACATCGCACAGGTGGCGGGGGCCCGGCTGCCGGCCGCCCGACAGCTCCTACAACAGCCTGTACTCCACGTGTCTGGAGCTGTTCAAGTTCACCATCGGGATGGGCGACCTGGAATTCACCGAGAACTACGACTTCAAGGCCGTCTTCATCATCCTGCTGCTGGCCTACGTGATTCTCACCTACATCCTCCTGCTCAACATGCTCATCGCCCTCATGGGGGAGACTGTCAACAAGATCGCGCAGGAGAGCAAGAACATCTGGAAGCTGCAGGTGGGCAGGTTGGTGGGGTGTGTGCAGCAGGCGGGCGTCAGCTGGGCGCATGGGCCCTGCAGGGTTTGAGGAGGAGCAGAAAGCTCAGCCAGGTCCCCGGATCAGGCAGCAGCCTCTCCCTCAGTCACCTCCCTCTGGCTCCTCCTGGGGGTTCTCCTGCCCAGTGTCATTAGCCTGTGTTCATAGACTCGGTGTTTACTGTGGGCTGGGGGGGCCCTGAGGGAAGAAGACAGAGGGCTCAGCCCCATCCATGAGGTGCCCATCTCAGGGGAACTTGGTTGAGGGTGGGCACCAGAGATCATACTCTGGCAGAGCAGCTACTATGGGGCAGGCCCCAACAGCGACACTTTTGAGACCCATGGTCCACGCTTGCCTTCCCACTAATAATAACAGCATCATTCTTATTCAGTAGCCTGGACTCTGCGCCGGGCACTTACATGCTCCCATTTAATCCTCACAACAATGCTCTGAAGTGGGTACTCACGATCCCCACTTTTTGGATGAAGGCATCTAGGCACAGAGAAGTTAGGGCTTTGTGTCCAGGGCAACTAGTAAGTAGCCCAGGCAGGAGCCAGCCCAGCCAGGAGCCAGCCCAGGCAGTCTCTCACTCGAGGCTCTGCTCTTAACCTCTACTATGCTGCCCCTTCGCGAGCTCCGCAGGGAAGGGTCTGGGGCTGGGCCACTCCACCTCACTCATGGCCTCACCCCTCACTAGCGGGGCCTGACAGGGTGGGGGCTGGGCGGGCTGAGCTCCTTCTGTGGAGGGGCGACCACAAGGCTTCGGAAACAAGCCTGCGCAGAGGGCACAGGACCTGCTCCGAGGTGCCGGGCCCGGGAGAGACCTGGGGGAGGCTGACCTTGGCAGCACCGGCAGCCAGCGTGGCCCCTGGACCAGCCCTCTGCCCCTCTGCCCTTGTGTCTTCCTGCAGAGAGCCATCACCATCCTGGACACGGAGAAGAGCTTCCTTAAGTGTATGCGGAAGGCCTTCCGCTCAGGCAAGCTGCTGCAGGTGGGCTACACGCCTGACGGCAAGGATGACTACAGGTGGTGTTTCAGGTAAGGCCCAAGCAGGAGCCACAGCCTGGGAGGCTCAGACCAGCTGTGGATGTTGGGGACCCGCCCAGAGCCAGCTGTGGGTACAGGGGTATAGAGGCCTGCTTGGAGCTCACCTGTGGACATGGGGGCTCACCCAGAGCCAGCTGTGGGTACAGGGGTATAGAGGCCTGCTTGGAGCTCACCTGTGGGCATGGGGGCTCACCCAGAGCCAGCTGTGGGTACAGGGGTATAGAGGCCTGCTTCAGGGCTCACCTGTGGACATGGGGGCTCACCCAGAGCCAGCTGTGGGTACAGGGGTATAGAGGCCTGCTTCAGGGCTCATCTGTGGGCATGGGGGCTCACCCAGAGCCAGCTGTGGGTACATGGGTATAGAGGCCTGCTTCAGGGCTCACCTGTGGGCATGGGGCTCACCCAGAGCCAGCT